AAGTCAATCTTGTGTATGAAGGAGAAAAGCTTAAACTAATGCTAAATACTTGGCATTTTCTAAGATTATAAATGAAAAAGCCTTTGAGCACTTGGCTGTATATAGAGTTATTTTTAAATTAATATTCTCTGTAACGGGCTTTTTTTGTTGCCTAATGTACTGGAGATGCAAGGGCTTTGTTTGTCTTACAAGGCAGATTCTGCTTCTATGACTGGAGCTGGCTGCAGTTAGCAGTAAAAACATCTTAAGTACATTTGAACATATTGTGGGGGGAACAGTATCTCTGAGCCTTGTAGCTCAGTTTGACTGGTTCTGTCAAGTATTGGGTTGTCTGAAGTGCTGAAACATCTGATTACAGTGATAAGGTGCTGAAGATAGGCTTATCTCTTTACTGTATTGATTTATGGTATGTTATCAAAATTTGCTGACTCCTTGACTATGATCTGTATGTGAAGACCATGTAAATAAAGATTAAGTAAGACTCAAGTAAATGCCTCTGGATCTTGCAACTCTGTTATCAGCCCTGGCTAAAGGTGTGTTTGCAGCTATCTTGCAGCTGCAGTTCAGGCGTGGGTCTGTTTTAGTTGTGCTCCCTTAGCAGCCTCTGAGTGGTGTGGGCTCAGCCTGTGCTCTTGGCTGGGCTGTTTTGAGCTGAGCCCTGCAGGTCTCCACAGTCTAGTTCTGACAGGCCTGGACCAAGAGCTGGCCTGCTGTGTGTCAGAGCGCAAATGGGGCTTGTCAGGAGGCGTTAATACAGGAATTAATAGCTTTCCATTTTTAGCAGTAAGGACTGCTGTGAACTCATTCCCTGCTTTTGTTGGTTTCCAGTTTTGAAGATTAAAATGCTTTATGAATGGAACTCTGAAAATACAATTATCTGATTCTCCAGCATGATGTCAAGTACTCAATGGCTGCTTGCTCAGACATGAAGGAACTGTTGCCTGCAAAGGTGAAGGTTAACAGCATGCGAGATGTTTTCCATGAGGGCCTGGTTTGAGGCTGTGGAACAAATTCCTGCAGGAAATAAAGGCTACTTTTGATCTACCAGTATTTCCCATTTCAGGTATACTTCTCTGACCATGCCTTTTTAATAGCAAGATCCTTGGAAGGAGAGAAAAGTACAAATGACAAGTACTAATCATTTTGCTTGACACATTTCTAGAAGATGGTCAGGTACCAGGTGATGAAAGTGGCTTGAGAGATGTAAGTGGACAGGAGAGCTGGCATTATTTGGGCAGGCTGAAGATCTGTTACCAAGTACACTTTCTCTTTTACTGCTTTTTTGGATGGAAGGGCTACAGATAGTTCAACAGGTGATAATGTTTAAAATGTGAACAGTCTTTATATGCCAGTTGATATACTTTAGTTTATGCATTACTGGGAGAGACGAAGTCAGTGGAGCTGAGGCATTGAAACCACATTTGTTGATGTTAAGGCTCAAGCTACACATCATATGAAGTATGTTTCCTGAGTGCATAAATACTCTGTGTAAAGGTGGTATGCCAAACTTGGAGAGTACCTTTGGCTTACCTCTCTGCCTACTGCTCAGCTCCAATTAATTTGTTGGGATAGTGTTAAAAGAAGTTTAATGAAATGCTGTCTCTCCGTAGCAAAATTAAACTTGACCAAGCAGCAAGTCTGGAAAGAGTGTTGTGAGACTTAAACATTTAAAAGGTGAGAGGAACTGTCTGTGGGTTGTCCAGAACAGTGTGACAAATATTTCATGTCTGTCTCTAGATAAGCAAATGTTGCTTCTGTATTAAAGAACAGTGAATTTGTATGAAGTTGAAAAAGAAAAAAGTTTAAAAGCATTGTCCTTAACTAAACTTTTTGTGTGATTATTAAACAGCAATGTGACTTACAGAATGCCACCGGCTGTTACTTGTGGAGGCCTATAAATAGTTTTTCTCCCAGAGTTACCAGAGAGTGGCAGGACTTCTGGTGAGCTCTTGTGCACCATTGCAGAAGATCTGTATTGAAAAAGCTGTTGTTAACCATAATAGGATATCACATCATAACTAGCTGCAATTAGATGCCAGGTATAGGAAAACTACTTTTAAAGCACCTATTTTATCAAAAATACAGAAAGAAATAACTTGTAAATGTCAAAGTGAATGGGAGAGACTTTTTGAATGTTCTTTAACTCTGCATGTGATTATGTGAAAGGTATCATAACCTGGCAGTTCTTTGCTTTTATCCTCTTTGTGACTTTGTTTTTGAAGGGGCAATACTTAAATAGTTTCTCCTTTGGAGTTGTCCTGGCTATCAGAATTTGGCATGCTTGGTGTCTTAAGCTTTTTTTTTCTTGTGGAATGTCCTTGCAGTACTTACCCTACTTAACTGAAAAACATTCCTCTAATAGCCAGCTGAAATTGGTCCCTCAAGTGCTTCCAGCAGCAATGACAGGCTTCTAAAAGTTTTGCCAAAAGCTAAGAAGGAAAAAACCCCTTCTGTAGGTCCCTGTGGTGGGTTCTTTTAAACTTTGCTAGTGTGTTGTGATGCAGGAGTCATCAGGAGTGAGCCTTCCAATGTTGATGAATGCACAAGCAGGAACCTTGTTATTTGTGCAGTAAACAAACAAGGAAAAGTGTGCTTGCAGTGCTTGATTTCAAGTAACTCCTTGGTCATGTCAGATGATAATCAAATACTTGTGCAACTAAAATCAAGGTAGATCTGAAAGTCTTCAGTCTTTCCCTTCAAGTAGTTTCTGATCCAGATGTGCTGCAAGTATTTTAACCTTGACTTTGCTGGCTCTGCTGTAGTCAGCCACTGTTGCAGTGAAAGGTTTATTTTTGTCTCTGGGTATTTTATTAATGATGCTCATAATAATTGAGCTCTCCTGTAGGCCAGTGCCTCTGATTGCTTATCTCTTTGCACTGGTACAGATTTTCAGAGAGACTTCTGTGGACAATTTATCCTGGCTCCTACAGGTATCCCTGCAGGACCGTGGCATAATGGCAGAGGCCATGTATACCTGCTGTCCTCTTGAAGTCTGGCTGGTGTTCCTTGTCTAATGAGTGGGTAGAGATTCTGGGTAGCAAAATTTTGGAGACCAGTAAATAAGCTTTTACTACATGTAGTAAAAGTTTAATAACAGAGCTGAGCTGCTTCACTTAAGTGGTCTGTTTTAAGCCTTCTTTGAGTCAGTCTGCATGACTTAATAAAATAATTTGTACACAAGTGTGTGGTGGTGTGTGTAACAGTCCCACAGACAGACTTGTGTCCTCAACTGGTCAGTAGGATTTATCCTTCTTGAGCACTCTTTAAATGCAAAATGGCTTCAGTAAGGCTCTGATTTCTCCCAGAAGTAAAGAATATATTAATTGAGAAGTCAGTCTGTGGGCTGATAGGGAAAAAAAATGTGGCTGCTGGTTATAAAATTTATTAATAAGCACTTTCATGTTCACAGCTAATCCTAATTTAGTCTTCAAGTGCAAATGAGCTCTAAATTGGTAGTAAATGCTTTCTTCTGGTTCTTTCAATATGTATGTTGCAGTGATGAGTCTTCATTTGTGCTTGAAGAGACTTGCTAGTCTACCTAGTTTCATATGTGCAATGTGCTTACTTTATTAAAGCAAGAAAATGATTTGTTTAGGTAACATTATATTGGCTTAGTGACTAGCTAAGTCATTTCAAGAGGAATGTATAGTATTTAGCTGGGTATAAGAGGAGAAACTGTTGTGCTCTCAGAAATGCTACAAATACTGCATTAAAGACTTCTAGTGTCTGGCAGATTTGTTATTTCGTGGGTGCGTTTTGTGTGTATTCCTCTTGGCAATCTGAACTGGTGTAAAGGTAGTAGAGGGGAAGAAAGAGGGTTGAATTTGTTGGTAGCTGGGTATCTTTAATACTTTGAGAGCTCATTCTGATTCATGATTGTTTTACCCATAACTTCCAAAAGGATGCTTGGATGCACTGGGTGACTTAAACTGACTGTGGTGATTACATGGATGTGCCAGGAAGTTCACAACTTGCTGGTGTGGCGCAGTATAGCTTGATTTGCCTGTATTTGCTATGTAGCTGCAAGTCCTCAGAGTAGGAGTGTGGGGTATGTTCTGTGGGAACTGTTTAGGAAAAAGCAGCCTTCTACCCTTAATCTTGTGTAATACAGAATAATGAAATGGAGTAAAAGCACAGGGAAGCTTGATGATCTGTTTTCTCATGGATGGGTGAATAGATGACTATTTCCACCTGCTGCCCCTTTTTTAAGCCTCCTGCCATGCATGATTTGTTGACTCCTGTGTATAAGTCAACATGATGAGGTTGATTCTCACAGGTGAAAATTGAATGAAAGGAATAATTTTAGTATAGATTTCTGCTTCCTGCTGTTTTCTGCTTCCACAGAGCTGGCAAGGAGGAAACAAAAGGATTCTTCCGGGGGGGGGAGTGTGTGTCTGATAGGAGACTTAAAAATTTAGTACTGAGGAGGTTCATGTTGCTAAAGCCAGTTGTTTTTCACTTGCATCTGTTAACAGGCAAAAGCTAGTTTCTTTTGTCCTGGGCAGTAATGAAAGCAGGGGCTGGGGGGGCTGTCCTTTCATTCTTTGGAGGTGTGGGTTTATTTTGTGGTCGTTGTTGAAGGAAAAGGGCCAGTTTAGGCAACTGTTGTCATTCTGAACTCTTAGTTAAGCCTGTGATATTTCTGTAGAAACTTCTCTGGATAGTCTGTTTCAAACACTAGTGTGCTCTGCACACTCATTTTCCATGCAGGCAGATGGTTTTAACCAGGACAAAAGGAATACAGTTAAGTTTTCAAGTTTTAAGAAAAAGATTGCTATGTAGGAGTTGGTGACTAAATGATAACCAGTTATCTGAAAATGATGTACTGCTTTACCTCTTGCGTGGGGGACAGTGTGAGCTAGTAGGATGAGGCTGTTGGATTTCCATAAACTGTGGTGCCTTTTTGTCTCTTTTTTATTTCTCCATTTGTTTTAGTGCCTAAAGGAAGTCTAGGACATGTGAAATACAGGCAGTGGAGCCTAAAGTTTCTCCTCGGTGCTGGATTTTAAAATTTATGAACATCTTGGCTCACTAAGCATTTCTGCAGCATGCCCCTAATTCTGGACTTTTTTCATGAATAAGATTGAGGTACAACATTGGCATTGGAAAAACGCCTCAGATGAGTCTATGGGTGAGAGGAGCCCCTGTACACCTATAAGCCTGGTTACTGTATTTCCAGTGAGTGGCCTGACTTGTCTCTGGTGGGCTTGGGGCCAGAGCAGTCAGGTATGCTGCTGCAGCAGGTTGAAGGCCCAGCCTCCTGCTGCCCTCTTCTTGAACTGCCCCTGGGACCCCACCTGGCTGGAGATGAATCTCTCTTCTCAGGTGTGTTCCCTTCATCACTTGTATCTGACACCCTCCTGCCTTGTCTCTGCACATTTCCTGTGAGGTTTCTGAAGAACTGGAATTGATGGGTAGAGTATTCATGTGTGAGTTTCAGACTTTCACAACATAATTACTTATATTTTGAAATGATTAATTTACACAGCTCTGAACTGAAACAATAAGCCAGTCATTCAGGTTGCTGTTTACTATTAGCATATTCTGCATATTGGCTACTAATGTACACTCTTTAATGTGTTCTTAATGAAGCAGTTCACTTGATTTTTTTTTTTTCCTTCAGCATTGTCTATGGAAAGTGCAGCTACCAAGGGAAGAATACATCAGAGATGTGGAAGCATATATAAGTGCTTTGTGCCCTATTGTTTCAGTTGTGTTACATTCTCGCTTGCTAGGGGAGATGGTTCAACATCAGGGTAAGAAAAATCTGAAGTCAGAAATGGGGTGAATATTTTCAAGTGAGAGCTAATCTTTTCCCATAGTTTACTAAGATCTTGTTAATCCTCTAGTATGAGGAGGTCTTGAACCAGAATATTTTTAGAGATGGTCTGGCTCAATAGCAGATTACTGAGCCCAGTGTTGGAGTATCTGGGTGAAATTAGCCAGTGTTATGCATGAGGCCAGACTGGATGCTTATAGTAACTCTGGACTTTTGAGCTATGCTCATGTTTACAGATCACTGTCAAATAATGGCTGCTTGGTCCTAAAACTGCAGAGGAAGGTCTGCAGCTGCTGCAAATCATGTCTTCAAGTGTGCTGGGATTCCAAAACTGTCTGGTTTAACTGGGCATTAACCCTCTTGAGAAATGAGTATCTCTCAAATCTTCTACACAGTGGTTTTGTTTCTGTTCTGTGGAGTTGAAACTCTGGGCCTTTTCATTCCTTCTGGCAAGTAATTATCAAATAGTTACAACAGTATTTCATGCTTGGTAACTGGAGCTTCCTTTGTTCCTGAATAGCGCAAAAAAAAAATTGTGAGTACTTGAATTAACATTTTGATGTATATTCAAAGGTGTTCCTACTGTTGTAATCACCATTGTCCTTTTTCCTTATCAATGCTTGGTATAGCTTATCTGAGCTTGGAGTGGGGTGGTGGCAAGTGGATTTGGGTGAGAGATCCTGAGATTCCTGAAAATTCCTTATGCCTTCAAGCAACCACTGATGCCTCAAATATTTTAAAAAGTAGTCTCCCAACTTTGGAGAATTAATTAGCCCTCCAAGGCAAATCTTGTGTGGTATAACCAAAAGGAGACCTGATGAAAGAGCTTGTTGTTGTTTTAATTTCCTAAAGCTAATCACATAATAGGAAGAACTCGGTCAAGCTTGTGCCTGGCTGCCTAGCGAAGAGATCTGTTGCTGAATGCTGAGCAGCTTGTGAGGGATTAGTAGGTTCGTGGAGCAGAACAATATCAGTGATGATTTGTCCTGCAGTCTCTGCCAAGACATACCTAGCAGGAATCCTTGAAGCTGTTGAAAGCAGATAGCTACATGTGGTATGAGTATTTCAGTTATTCCAGAGTCTGTTCTCTGTCTTTCTACTTCAATATCTTGCAAGAGCTGCAAAAGTGAAGTGGTCTGGGGGTTAGTTGCATACTAGTTCTGTTTTGGTTTCATGCTAATTTGCTCTTGGAAGGGTATGGCATGCATTATTAAACTGAGTTCTTTAATGTTGTTGTGGTGGTGACATAAGAAATAAGTAAGGGAGGGCAATGAGCATGGGCTTTGTAAAAGATGAGGCAGAAGGTAAAGAAGTGGGGCAAGGAAGCAAATGCCAAGCAAGAAGTGGGGACCACATGTCTGAAGTGACAAATTGTTGTGAATGTACTGGCTTTGGAGCAGCTACCCCTGTCCTCCCCCAAAAGAGTGCTGATGCGTGCCAGAAGCTGCAAGTTTAAAGTAAGCAGTGCAAAGTTCCCTTCCCAGTGCAAAGCTGCAGAGACTGGAACCAGTTTAAGAATTGTGGCTCTAACTATGGCCCCATTTCTTTTATGCTTTTGAAGTTCCAAAAACGTGTTGGATTGATTGTTGGCCCACTTACTACTGTAGCCACAGTTACTAGGCAGATAAACTGTGTACTCTGAGCATTAATTATTGCCTGGGTCATGGTGGTACCTGATTGATGTTAGATAGGTACTATAAGAACTTACTGGTACAAATGATGGGGATTTTGGCAGGAGGGTAGGGAAGGAAAAAAGCTTCATAGTGATAGTGGACTGTGGGGGTGGGGCGTTTCATCAATAAGGGTAAAAATCATCAATGGTGTTACTGACTGAGAAAGGGCCAGCAGTCAAATCACTTGCTGTTGTCCTACAGTACTTATTTTTTTGTTGGTTCTATTTCCTGGTAATTTGCAACATAAGGAGTTAATGAGTGAGATGTAGAAGGTGAAAAATAAATATTTATCTCGCAACATGCATCAAAGATCAGATAGTATGAGCAGTAAGAAGCGAGGCCTTTCCACTTCAATTAAATATCCTTGGCAAGACATTGGGGAATTGGCTTGCTCTTGACTTTATGTAGAGGAAAATTCAAGTAAATGCCTTATCTGTTATTTCAGTGTGTCTGGTTAAAACATACAGGGATAATGGAGCCCAAGCTTTACAGATGGCCAAACATAGGTTTCAGGTAATCAGGTTTTCAGTTAGTCTACTGTGGACTTATGTAGAGATGATAGATGAGCTGAACTGAGATTTACTTGGTATAGATTTTTTGTTCACTTGCTTGTACAAATCACTAACATCCTGGAAACTATTGCTGATCACATCCGCAGGCTATGCTTACTGGTTTCCAAGGTATATGCATTTGGGTGGAGGAAGTAAAACCAAATAATTACCTTGGTGATAAGTCTTCAGTAGGTTGGGGCAGGGGGAACAGTGTGTCAGTGTTGAAGCATTTGGTTATAAACTATGCCTCCATAATGTGACTGTGCCAGGTGGTTTTTCTGATAGAGACATTCTAAATCCTGGTTATATTATTGACATGTTGCATGACTGTAGTGGCTTAGTTTTGTGCTTGTGAAACAAAAATTATGATACTTGCCTCACTGGGAGAGCCTGTAGATTAGTATTTTGTTAGGTCTCCTCACTGATGCTGGTATGACTGTCTTTACAGTTTTGTTCCTGTTCTAGTAGGTGAAGCTTTACCAGCATCCTCCACTAACATAGCTTGTCAATTCCAAAATCAACTGACAAAACTTGCAACGTGTTTTTGAGACACTTGTTTGAATGGAGCATCTAAAATTGTTGTAATAAAGATTACTTTAAAAAAACCAAACGAAACCCCACAAAACTGATGTGTACAGCAAACCTGAGGCTTCTGAAATCAGTACACTTGGACTGAATAAATACATACCTTTATGGATAAATCATCAGCTTGCTTTTGAAGATAATTACCAGAGTAACTTCTTCAGTTATTTTCAAGTGAGTTTTTGTGTGCTCTGAGTGAGAGATCTTTGCCATAGCCTTGTGAAGATATCAGTTGGGGTCTCCTCTGTCCTGGGTGTTAGAAAAAGGATGTTTTTATAGGGCAGAGTCGATAGGGTGGTTTGCTATGCCTAGTTTTCAATGCCTTTGGGGGGGGGGGGAAATGTTGAGTTGGAACTATGAAGTTCCTTGTCAATGCTGTGGTTTCTTTCTGGGATTGTAGTTTTGTGTGTTTTCAAGTGATCTAAAAATAATTACATGAGTAAGGACTTGCCTGGATTGTGATACAGTGGGTGACCAATAGTAGCCATAATAAAAGTAATTTTTATTATATCCATTGTAGATCTACATTATTGTAGATAAACACTTTTGGTCAGGGTTAAAGACTGATTTAAAAGAAAATTGTTTGGATCCCCATGCACTGAGGAATATCTCCGGGAATGGAAGGGGGAGGGGAGAAGGTACATGAAAGCTGTTGTTCAGATGGAACTCGAAGAAGAAAGTACTTCAGGCTGACAGCGAGAACTGTTCAACCTTTAAAAAAAGTGGCAAATCCTTACTGATTATTTTTTTTCTTTTTTAATCCCACAGCTGATTGCAATGCCATTCTTAAAGCTCTACAGCCCATTTTTCAGGAGCAGGGAATGACAGAAACAGTTCATAACTGGGAAGACCATGGTTATTTAGCAACCTACATTAAAAAAAATGGCAGGTGAGTGGATTTTCTTTTCCTTCCTATATATTATGTCCCCTCTGTGCTCCTTACAAATATTTATTTCTCCCTTTATTGGATCTCCTTGTGGGGTGCAGGCAGGGCAAACTGTTCCTTTGCTAGCTTTGTGTATTAAGTGACTAAAATAAAGCAGAATATTGTTGATAATCTTGTCTATGTCATCTTGCAGTTTGACTGTCAGAACAGTTCAATTGGTCAGTCTGGGCTGTATTGATGCGGTAACAATGTATGGTGTCTTGGTCTGGGGGGCCAGTCCTTCCTGATGCAGGACAGCTCAAGTCAGTTAAATGTATTTGTAATTCTTCTGACAATTGAATACGTCTAAATATATTTGAGTCTAACCTTAGCATGTGAATGATGAAAACTTTCTGTCTCTGTCTTGTATGTGCTTTTAAACACTTTATTATACATTTCAAATTCTCAAGCAGCTACTGAAGTACCTAACAGTATGACAAAGGTGGTTAGTGTCATTAGTGACACTCACATAAGCAGAATCTACTGGGATAAACTGGTAAGCAAAACCACATTTACTTTATTTCCTGAAGCTGCTTTACAGTGTCAGGGTTAGTTAATTACTGTATACATCTCTGGCCTATTTATTAGTAACTGCTATGATTTTATTGCACTTCATTTGTTTGCAGTTATTCAGTTGTTTGTTCTTGACATTTATTGTGGCAGTTGCTGCTTTTGTTCTTTTTGAAATCTCTACTTACTTCGGTGTTCTTCAGGATTGGAGTTAAGCTAAATAAGCTTTAATTTGTTGGTTCTCTTCTCTTGGGAGTCCTCTTAAGCAGCTCAGTTGACCACACTCCTCATATATGAGAATTGCCTAAGGATTTTTAACTTGTATTGGTTCTCTCTTATTACAGAGTGAGAGAATTGATATATTTAGTAGGAAAATCAGATCCTAGGTGAATGTGTTGCTTGCTGGAATTTGTGTCTCTGTTTACTATCTATGAACATATAAGTATGTACAGCTCCATAGCTATGCATTTTATATTAAAAAAAAGTAGTGTAGGCTAACTACATTGGTAAACTTGGGGCCTGACTTAAGGTAACAAGTAAGTTGGCATGAGTCTAGTCCTATGTTTATCTCTCCCAATCATGCTCTATGGAGTTCCTAGTATATTTCAGTCAGCTTTTCAAATGTGACAGTGGCTTTTTCTGATGAAAGTTAGTTGGTTTTTATACTCGATGGGCCTAGAAAAACCTGTTTACTTGTCTCTTTGTTTTTGTATATTTGTTTTGGTTTTAGTTACTTGTGCTTCTGTGTTCTTCCTGAATAATTTGATAAAGATTCCAGTTCTGGATAACCTTTCGTTTCTGAGGTCAGTGGAAAGATAGCGAACTTGGTAATTCACTACTCTGGTGCTGTCTTTCCTCTGCATTGGGTTAAGCTTCTCTTTAGTTGCCCTAGAAAGGTAATGTCAAGGATATACAAACTCTGAACAGTTAGAAGGCAAAAGATCCCCAGTTAGTAGTTTTTCACTATGCTGCTAAACAACTTAAGCTCTTGTACCAGAGAATAGTTCACAGTATTCTTACTGCTGTGGGAAGATGAAGTTGGGGAGGTGGCCTGCCCCAGTGGCCTTCCTGCAGGGAAAGAGGGGAAGGTCTGATACGTTGGGTCTTTGTTCTACATACTTCTTGCCACTGCTTCTTGTGCTAAGTAGAAGAGCTGGGGAGCAAGGGCAATCACTCTGGCACCTCTACTGCTGCAGACTGCCCACTTGCTTCCTGGATTTTGTCTTTAGGGCTACACCAACAGTTTGTCAGTTGGCAGGGTCCTGGGTTGGTTTGTTCCAGAGTCCTTTCCCAAAAGGCAGTGTCGGTGAGGCTGCACAGTTTGGGCTGCTTCTGCTGTCATGCAGTTTTATCAAGTAATCAAGTAGCCTTACTTCTCACATACAACCCTCATGCCATGCTCTAGGGCATGCAATGCATACTTGATGTCAGCTTGATGTAAAATACTTCCCTGGTGACTGCAGCAGAGCCCTAGTGTCACTTCAGATGCTTTGATGTGGCAGTTGGTGGGTTGAGGGAGAAACCTCACTGTCTTGGGGCCATAGGAATACCATGTGGGCCACAGGGAGAGCTGGGGCTAAGTGGTGTAAGCATGGATGTGGCCTGTCTGTTCTCAGGGGAGCTCAGCTCCTTGAGCCCTCCAGGCTGGGTTCAACCAGTTTAGTCAAGTATTGCTTCTCATCTGTTTAATAGCACCATATGCTAGACATCTTAGGCTAGTGCTGTTTATCTCTTCAACTAAGTGATAAATATGATGGAGAATACTGAGTTTCAGGAAAAAATGCTCTAAATACTGGGGTGTCCATGTAGGACATGAATGGGCTTTCTGCTACTGCAGCACTGTGGGGTTTTTTGCCTTTCCTGATTTGCACAGGCTGATTGACTTGCTCTGTCAGTCTCCATTTGGCATGTTTTTTAGCAGTCAGATGTAGAAGTCTCTCCTCCCTGTAAATATGCAGGTGCCACAACCTTGCCTTCACTGTCTGCATTGCTAATGCAACCATGAATGGGCTTCCTGACGAATGTGGTTAACTGTCAAAAAGTTGTAGTTGAGCTTGGTTTTAATATCAAATTACTGTTGTCAGCTTAATGTTAAATTGTGTACAAGTGTTGTCAATTCAAAATTACATTTGCTAGTGAAGGCTCTTCACCCCTTATGAAGTAAGTTCTCAAAGTTCTGATATAATACAGGTCTGGAAATAGTTGAGCTTCTAAGAAGCTATTCAGGAGAGCATCCTAAACATAACAAAGAATTGCAGAGTTGTGACGCAGCCTCAAAACTGAAGAATGAAGGACAAGAGTGCACAGAAGAGCTGAATATTAAGATGATACCATTTACTTGCAAGTGACTGTTTTTCTGGTGCAGTGTTAAATGTAAATTAATAAAGAATGGTTATTGCTTTTTCTTAGTATATTCATTGCTGGCTGAACTCCAATGCATATGGGATTAATTTTCCCTGGAAATTACTTACTTTGCTATTCAACTTACTGTCTGTAGTGAGGTGAGTTAAAGTATGCTTCAGTGCTTTGCCAGCCCTGTTAAACAGTGAATTGGGGAACACTAGCATGTGCAGGAGAACTTTCTGTAAGTTTTGGGACCTCAGTAGATCTGTTTCCTTGAGTTTTCAGATCACTTAAAGAAACTGCATATACTTTCTTAAGGCAGCCTTAAGCAGTGTGTTTTTGTTAATGTCAGTTGATGTAGGAAAAAGGGTGTGAACACTAAAAAAACCCAATAGACTGGACAGTTAAAACCCTGCACAACAGGAGCATTTAATGAGTGGTATGAATGAACTGGTGAACATACAGAGGATTTGATACAAACTAAATAGGCTTTATTTTAATACTAGCAATTTTGTCTGGATTTTATTTGGGATGTAAAATCATAAGATCTTTATGCTAATTAAAAGAAGTGTCTGACAACTAGGAAGAAATTGGCCAGGGCATGCAGACTTTTCCTCTTTCTTCCCTATAAAACAGTGTACTTTTAGAAGTAGCTTGTAGTAAAAAGCAGGAAAAAAAAAAATTGTGGTGGAGGGTAGATATGTCATGAGCAGTTTCCTGTGAGGATGGCTGGGTGTTTACTGGGCACAGACGATCCCCAGGATGAAAGATGTGTGAGTTGGTGCTGTATGTGAGTAGGGGGTTTGAGTATGCACATACAAACACGTTATTAACCAGCCAAAGGTGACTGAGCCATTGCAAGACAAAGATGTGCAGCTGATGTAACAAGCTGGGTACTAATCCCAGGAAAAAAATATTTGTGTTGAGATAGTAGTATGTTGCTAAACAGTGTACACTCCAAAGTCTGCAGAGATAACCCCCATAGGTTGCACGGTGCCCCGTGCTACAGATTTTTGTCAACAGCAGTGCCCGCAATTCAACACTTTGTCTCTGACAAAGATACCCTGTGAACAGCCCCGCGGAGGGCTGTGGTTGTTAAACGAATTGGAGCCGATTTGGGGATTAAGCCATGCTTTCCTGTTGTCATTACCAAAGCAACAGATCCCTGTTCTCCTTTGTCTGAAGCTAAGCAAGCAAAAGTCACATGTGGCAACTCTACCTGGTCCATTTACTTTGTGACTTACTCTGACAAAGGACCTAATTGAGGGGAGTTCAGCTGAAAACATTTACTAATGGGGTTGTCAACGCAAGGCTCTGGAGTCACGCAGGAAATGGCTCACTTGAGCTGCTCAAGTCCCTGTCCCAGTGGTGGGGATGGATATACTTCTCTGCTTTGCCAGCCCCCTTGCCCAGACACTGGTAGGGGAATAGTAGCACATGCAGGAGAGGAGCTCTGTGTCTGGGGCTCGGGGCCCCAGCAGTCTTGTTTGCTGGAGCCATGTGTTTTCAGATCACTTTGTAACCAAAATCTGGAATAAAACTCCTTAACACCAATGTGAAGTTAAGAAGCAGGCACTTTGTTTATTGCAGTGCTGGGGACATGGGGGATTGCGCCTCCAAAGGCGTGTCCAACTTAGTGTCAAAATCCATTGGTTTTTTTATAGACTTTTTCTGTCAAATCATTGTTAAAGAAGCTTATTACATAAAAATGCATACTATGCTTGCTCTTAAATTTAACCTTTGTAATGATTGGTCCTTTGATTATATAAACTTATCAATATTCTTACTTAGAATTGACCAATGATTGTTTTTATTTGGCTCTACTGATTGGAATCCTCGATACTCAAATCGAGATGGGAAGGGTAAGGGCGTTTCCAAGCAGCAAACTGGTGTCCCATGACTGTTTCCTTAATTTCTTAAAACAAAACATAGGAAAACCAGTAACTTCCTGGTGAGGTTTCTATGGTTAGCTATTTCAAACTTAACAGTATTAAGGTTCCTGTGGTCATACATAACAGTTCCTAAAGCTTCTATGGCTTCATTTCAAACTTAACAATCCTATACATTATGCTTCACAATTCTACTTCTTAATCAAACCTAACTCTTCTATGTGATCAAATTTTGATTTCTCTATCAGAGTATTTGCAACAACTTCCAGAATGTTTTCAGGCTCACCTGAAGCAGCATGCTTTTACTGAAGTGTCATTTACTGTAGCTTAGACTGGACAGGTAAAGACTTGATATTCCTAACTTTTTTTAATCTCATTTAATGTATATGGTACTTCATACAAAGTCATAGGGTCTAGTATATCTTAACAGGTTAAAAAAGTTATTAAATAAATCTAGGGTAAGGAGAAAAATCATTAAAGCTAATCTTTGGAAGCTGTTGAGTATCTTCTCAACTAATACTATATTTTAATAGCATCGCTGCTTGTGAGCAAGTACTCTTCTGTTACATACTCTGTACAGCTACCAGGGTTTTTTTGTCCTTCGTGCATCTATGCACCTTCTTTTGTCATGTTTCACCTGAGAGTTCTTTAAAAACCCACAAAACCTGAAACTTAGTCACTGTTTCTACAGTAGAAGACTCTTTTTTAGAAAAGTTTTATCCCCCCTATCCACACATCCTTTTTTAGCTTCTGTTCTGTGTCTGAATTCTTGTTTAGAGTGTAATCCTACTGGCATTTGACTTCACTGCAACAGTGCAAGATTTACCCAGCTGAAGTTGGTTTGTATGTTACTGAGATGATGGTGAATATATTTACACCATGAGGGGAGGGGTGAGAGTTTTTACTTCTCTGTGTTAGTCTTTTCCCAACTGCTCTATATGCTAGTCAGCATATTTTAAAGGAGCAGGATGAACATTCCTCAGCTCCTTGTTTCAGGCTAAAATGTGGTTTATTCATGGAGTTACCTAGAGTGCAAAAATGGGCTGAAGAATTGGAAGCTGTTGCTAGGAATCAGCAACAATTTAGAACTGTAGTAGCTTTCATTGTCTTGATTTCTTTATTTTGTAAAAAGAGAACAGGAATAATAGTGCAGTGAAAAACTGTGGTTGCTTAATATCTTAAGGTCCCTTAAGTACTCTGTAATTAAGATGAAGAGCGTTTTAAACAAAGAGACAGTATGCTTTATTGAAACAATGTCGTGACAAATTTTTCTTATTTTGGGATTTCCTAGTATATGCAGGTTTTCATTTCTTCCCTCATTATGAGTAATTAGACAGGTGATGCTTTTATTGGCAGGCTATTTTTCAAATACTTGAACTATTCTGTCTATTCTATAGTGACTCATAGTTAGTCTGTCAGCAGGTAAAAGCTTTGCTATTCCAGTAGAGGTAACAGTTTGACAAATGATGGTTCTGCAGTGTTACTGTCTCTGTATTCTAATGCTATCATATCACTTAAGTTGTGTGGCTGTGCTTTTCAGAGCAACCCTCCTCTGCCTCTCCTTGCCTCCCACCCAAAAGACCCCAAAGCAATGGCAGTAACATCCCCTACTGAGGAAGTATCTCATGCAGTCACAGGGGAAGTGAACACAATGTCAGCTGTCAAATCTTATGACAGCTATGCTATTCTTGTAGGAAAGGAATTTAAAAGAGAACTCAGTCATGGGACAATCAATCTGTTGCTTATTTGTGTCAACAGCAACCCCTATAATACAGTAGTAAACTGACAGAAAGTTTTTCTAACAGTCCAAATATTTCTGGCCCTGTGCCTGATCTCAGGGACCCTAATAACAGTAATAACTGCAAATAGTCATTTCTGTCTGTAGTGCTGCAGCTCTGAGGGCCTGGAGTAGTCCATGGACTTCACCAGAAATGTCCCTTTTCACTGTGAATGCATCCAAAAGCTGCTGGAGTGAACAGTGCTTCCATCTAGCAAGCTCTGCTCTTTTGTCTTTCTCTCCTTTAAAAAAAAAAAAAAAAAATCTCCTGGAGTCTTGTGATAAAGCTGTTTGTTCTTACGCTTATGCCTGATTATTTTTTTTCCTCCCATGTTAGGCACATTACAAAATAAACCCCTGCTGATGTGAAAAATCATATAAACAGAATCCTAGTGGGGTTTTCTCCAGAGCTGTCCTTCGCAGTAGCCATTCCCTCTGTGCTGAGCACAGAGAGACTCTAGGAGAAGCATGCAACTGATTTGAATTCCTTTGGTTCAAGGGGTTGTAAGGTCACAGAGAGAAGTGGTTAAAAACTCTGAAGCCCCATAGAGACTTGGGGCTGGGGAGTGTGTGTGTCCTGCCCTCTTTTTTTTTTTTAATTGTTTAATCGTCCTACTTGTGTCTTAGTGGTACTGATGGGAACACCAACTTAAGCTGTGTAATGCTGAAAACGCTCTCATTCTTCTAATTAGCTCATAAACCTGGTCTCTTAAGTGGTAGCACTATCTGGTAGTTAAAAAGAAAAGTCAAAGAGTAAACAAAGATGCCTTTTTCTATTTTCTGTTTAACTTTTCATCAGGCTAGAATATGCAGGACTAATTTCCTGGGGGGGGGGGGGGGGGGCCTCGATTTTTTAAGGCTATTCTGTGGCTTTGTTTAATGGCCATTGGGAGCGCAGCCATTTTCTGGTCCCTGATGAGGAATGCTGCTCGGGAGGAGACCTGGTGGGCAATTGCTGAGGTGTAGGGGTGACAGTCTGCAGGTACTTGGGAGGGGGAAACACGGTGGGCATGGGTATTGTAGAGAAATGTCTTTGCTCCTGAAGGGAAGACCTGCACGTAAAGTCTTCAGGAAAGCCTGAGACTTCCCAGGCTCATATTTTGAAGAGACGTGAGTGACACTGGTTTCTCTGTCAATTGTAAACACATCACAGCTACAGATCACTGCTGTCCAAAGCCAGCAAGAGTGTTTTTGTTCTTGAATCACTTCAGTTTCATCATTTAATCACTTCAGTTACCAAAAATTATAATTGTCAGGTAACACAAAATATTCAGGATTTTCTCTCTGACTGCAGCTAAGGGTATTTGCTGGCCAAAGTTCCCACCACCACGGGAGAGGTGGTGTTTGTATCAAGGCTGACAATTTATGAAAGGAGTTCTGGAAGGGACAAAAAAGGTGGGAGTGGTGGGGAGATAGGTCACCTAAACTTTTTGTCTCAAGAGTTAGTTTTGTTTGCCTTTGAGGCTGAGTGGGGTGATAAGAGCAGACAAGCAAAAAAAGGGGCATTCAGAGAACTGTATACAGGTTTACCTGGGGTTTCTCTGTGGTGTACTAATGAACTCCACCCCTGAATACCGTTCGTTCTTTGCTTTGCTGTTCCTGTTCCCATCCCCTCCTCTGCCCTCTTCTTTCAGTTTATGCTTTCCCTCCCTTCCTTTACATAATCTTCTTGTAGCCTTTCTGTTTCTTTTTGTCTTCTCCCCTCCCCAGTATGGAAAGGATATCACCCCTGCTACTGTTTTTATTTTCTTGTGACTTTCCCCATAGTCTTTATCTGTTTTGTTTGTTGCAAGTTCTTGAAGGTCTTCTGTTTGTCCACCCAACACCTAGCATGGTGAAGCCTTGCTCGTTGGTCTTTAAATGCTCCTGTAATAAATACAACATACAGTAGGAGTTTTGTCTGTTTCTCGTCTGTATTCAGCAATGAGAGTTTGCTGCTGTAACTTTGCTAGTCAAAATCATGGTCCAGCACACTTAATGCTTCTCCCTTAAAAATTTTTATTCACCTTTTGAATGTGAACACTGTCTCTCTGAATAGGTGCTATAAAGTTAAAAAAAACCCAACAAAACAAGAAACCACCACAACCAAAAAAACCCAAGAAGTGAGAAGGAAGATACAGGGGAAGAAAAGCGTGCAGTTGTTTTCTTGAGGCTTGATTTCAATTAAAAAACAAAACTGACACAATATACCTGTTCAAGTAGGCCTTATTTAAAGAACTGAGGCTAGGTAGTATATTTTCCCCTTGTACCATACTTGTTCTGGTTTAAATGCTCTTTCATTGCCTTGCTCCCTGCTGATTTTATTAGTTATGTAGTGAATGGCATACTCTTGCAACTTTCTGTTTGCTGTTTAGTGACTTGCAGAGGAAGACTGGAGCTGCCACTGCCAACAGTTACAGATGGCTGGAAAAAGAAACATGCATTCTGAATTTAATATAAGTAGTTTCAGACTTTCTTTCCTCGCTCGCTCTGATTTTTGATAATAAAATCATCATCACTGTCTCTATTTTTGTAGTTTTGCCAATTTGAGAATTCACCCTCATGGATTAGTGTTGGTGGATCTGCAGAATTACAATGATCATACAAAAGGAAGAGAGGAAGCCGATCAGGTACGAGTGCTTGCCTTACTAGACTTATCAAACTGCATCAGGAGCCCCTTTTCTTCAGGTCTATCAAAGTATATCTTGGTAAAAGATTTTTAAATATTAAAGTTATTTCAAACCTGAATGCTTACAGATGAGGAATAGTAACACATATTGTGGTTGCATACACATGTGAGTGCATGCGCACGCACTCTTTTTTGCATGTCTTGGGCCTCGTGTTCTTTGCTTTAGAAGTTGTAAAGACATAGCAGCCTTGGTAGGGCTCAGGTCTCTTCAGGTACCCAGGGCAGTGAGTGAGAAGTGATGCTCAACCTGCAACCTGGTGTATTAGTCTGTGACTTTTTTTCCTTCTCTAATCTGAGAGATGGGGAGCCTCTATACTCAAACTTCTTCCCCAGGAAGAAAAATAATTTCATCTTCCCTGATGTGAAGGCTCTAGAAATTGGATATTGCAGGGGAATAGGCCACTGCTTTGGCAGGAATGAAACCTTACAGGGTTCTTGTCTTCTCTCCTTGGCTGTGCCTGGAGGGTCTCACTGTGTTATCCTGGAGGACAGCTAAATGCAGTGGTGACAGCTGCTACAATATGTATGTTCTTGCTAGTAATGAGGCTTGAGGCAACCAGCTAGTTAGTTATTCATAAGCTTCTAATGTTACATTTCAAAGCCTTTCAGTGCAGGTGCTAGTCTTTATTGCCTTCCAAGTAGCCTAATTTAACAGATTTTACATTAAGCGATCACCTATAAATTCCACCTCTTGCTTTTTTTCCAGCTTCTAAACAAAGTAGAAGAAAGAATGAAAGAATTGTTTCATGGTAATATAAAAAGGGTGAAGCGGTAAGTTCGTACATCTACTTCTGTATGTGGCTTGTCTGTATATTTGCTAAAGATAATGAGGAAATAATGTTTTGCTGTACTGCAATGAATAGCCTGGAGTATGAATTTGTGTGTGTGTTTTCCTCCAATGTTTTAAAATGGTTTTATTGCAGAATTGAAGATGCTGTGAGGTTTGTCCTTTTGTTAAGCTTCATCTTCAGTATTGTTACTTTGGGCAAGGATTATTTATTTAATTTGCTGCTATGGTTGCATGAAATGGTGGGAGAAAATGCAAGCAGGAAGCAAGAGCAGACTGCTCTGGAAGGGCTGCGGAACCCAGGGTGGTGGTGGGTAGGGCAGCCCAGGGTGTGAACCGTACCCTCTGGACCACATCCCACAGCTTGCGGACAAGGCGAGCAGGGCTGGTGAAGGTGACCAGGGTCAGCCCCAGCCCTGTGACTGCCGGGCTGGGCTGTAGTACTGAGGCAGCTCCGAGACCAAGCTGGGTGTCAAGGATTGGTGAAAGAATTGGGCAGAGCTGCAGGGTAGCTTGGGCAGGGACAAGGGGTGAGGGCTGGAGCTGAAATGAAGCCTATGGAGGAGGCCCTGCCCCAACAAGGTTTCCTGCAGCTCTTTCTCTCACAGCTCTGCCCCTGCTGCATTTTACGGTGCTGGCCTTGGGCATATGTGGCAAAAACCCCTGGGGGAACCTGTGCGCTTAGGGCCCTGGCAAGAAGATAGAAATATTTTTTAGCAAACTTTTTTAACATAACTGATGAGTGAAGGAGGGAGGCTTTGCAAACCTTCTGTCGCTTTGATTTACTTAAATACAAGGTCATATTTTAAATTGTAGGGATGCTAATTGGCTTGTTGCATGCTGCTGAAACAGCATTCATGCAGGAGTTCCCCAGGCATCTGGAAGGACACAGCTCATGTTAGTGTCTTCCTGGTGACTCTGTGGCAGTGCCTGGCATCTCAAAGCCAGGGAGCACTTGCTGCAGGCATGCACTTGCTGGAGGGTGCAGCGAGTGCTTTAAAGGACATAGTCAGAAGAGGAAATGGTTTAAGAAAAGTAAAAAGCAGCGTAAAATCAACAAGATTCAGTAAGGCCAAGGAGCAAACTACAAAATGGGAAAACAGCTAAGCAGTACTGTAGCAGGAAGTAATCTGAAGGCTATACGAGACCACAAGTAAAGTGGTAGTGATTTGAAAAGTGATGTTATACCTTGAATATTGTTTTTGCTTAACAGCTGTATGTAAAACAGAGCAGTTATCTTGCTTTACTTTGTCCTGGTAAAGCCTCATGTGGTGCACAGTGTGCAAATGTAGATAATCTTGTGCCTATGTATATAGGGAGAAGCTCACTCTTTGAAGATATTTTAATATTGAAATATTATATTGGGAGTTTGTGGAATCTCTGTGATAGGAACTTGTTAAAAATGGGTCAGGGAAAAGTGTGCCTGAAGTGATCTAGATTAATTTGGTTATGTTGGTATAGGAAGATAAGCTTCTTGGAACAGTGGATCTGGCATGAATCTCGTCACACACCCCTCAACTTTTTTTTATTTTTTCTTTTTTTAATTTGCTTTGCATCCTTCTGATATTAGCTTCACACATGCAGCTCCACTAGAATTAATGCTGCTGGAAAAGCTGTTCTTGCCTTTTTGTTGTCTTGATGTATTGAGCAGATGCTCTTGCTCTCACCGGTTGCTGCCATCTTGTGGCTCACTGAGGGTAGAAAATATTTCTGAAATGTTTATTGAGAATTGCTAGTGAATTTAGAAGCAGCTTCTCTGTGTCTAGTCTACTGCTACGCTCTCCTGGAAAAAACTTAACTCTTCGAAGTGTGTGGGAAATCTGATGAACTCTGTGCCTGCACACTTTGCTTAAAATGGTATGCAATCATTTTGATCATTCACTGCCATTTCAAATATAGTTTGTCTTTACAGATGAAATACAGATTTGAACCAAGATACTTTTCTATGGAATTAAAAAAAACCAAAACAACAACAGAACCAAAACAACCTATGCAGATGCTTGAACCACTTTTAAAAAGTAATGCAAGCTGTCAGCTGATATCAAGGATTGTGCTTGTACACTGCAGGGTGATGTGGCTCAGTTTGAAACACTATAATAGTTCACTTTTTGTGTTTATGTATGTATTTAAAAATGTCTTGGTACAGCTTTAGAAGGGTAAGATACACTAATCTCAAAGAAATAGCATTCTTAGCTGAGCTGAAGGTGGGAAGAGATTTTGTTATGTTTTTTGTCTGCTTTCTGCTTTTGTATTTTATCCGTTTCTAGTCATGAGCCTATTCTGCAGAGGCTGGTATGTTACGTAAATCCCTCTCTTAAGGTAGAGAGATTCACAAGCACATTGTAGAAGTTAAACATAAAGAACCATCATTTATATTTCATCTGTGCCTTAGCAAGTTATGTGTATTTAACATATGGCTGATAAGTTTCTTACGTCTGAATGTTAAATCTTGCAAGTTTTTCTTAGATCCCTCTTGTAAATATTTATTATGGTGGGTCCACAGGATGTTTAGAGGGGATTTTAAAAAAAAATACTTCTCAAATGTTTTGTAATCTTTTTTTCTTATTATTTCTTTCTAGATTGCCAGCCATTTTGAGAGGAGGTGTCATTGATAGATACTGGCCCACAGCTGATGGACGCCTGGTGGAGTATGACATAGATGAAGTTGTTTATGATGAAGACTCACCTTTTCAGAATATTAAAATTCTGCATTCAAAACAGTTTGGGAATATTCTTATTCTCAGTGGGGATGTTAGTAAGTATCTCATTTGAAGATCTTTTGTGTGAAATTGTAGGAAGTATTGTTTTCTATCTTGCTATGGCACAGTTTTAATAGATTACTAAGGGTCATGGTTCTGATGCTGGAAGCTACATATATGCATGTACACATATATCTGTTACTGTATATAAAGTATTTTAATCAGAAAGGCTGACCAGTGTAAAATCTAGAGTACAAAAAAAGATTTCTTCTTTTCCCAAAGTTGTCATCTTTGCTGTGGAAAGGAGCATAGAAAGGAGAATAGAAGTCAAGAGTGTTGTCTAGCAGAGCTTACTCTACTCCTTTCTTTCATGTGAACTTTTACCTGTTTGTTGCAAGCCCAATGTCTTGAGGGCTTCTCTTTGATAGTAAAACAAGCTACTCTGTCAGTCTTCAAAATGCAGTAGAAGTCTAGAGACATATGAAGGAAGTAGGAGCTGGTGGGTGTGTGTGGGGATAATCCTGCTGCTCCCTTGATTCTCTAAGGGAGTTGCCTGCCTGGTGAGATACAGCACAGCTGTATCTTAAACCATTTAGCTGCTTTGTTGGTGAACATCTTTTGACTTTTGTCTTCTTCAAAATGCTCAGTTGAACTCTAAGTTCATCAGAAGAGTGACCCAACCTTTATGGGAGGGTCTTTATATGTGGCACTCTGTGCCTGCTGATCTTTGTATTTTTCAAAGTGAACTTGAGAGAAGATGATCACTGTTCTTCGAAGTGGGATGAGAATGCTGTTTGCTAGAAAATCTAGGCATCGGGGAGTATGCTTTGTAAAATCTCTCAGTACTTATGTTGAAAAGTACTGGCTGAGGTAAACAAGGGATATTGCTGTCTGGGGATAGAATACCTAATTTCAGTCTAATGGCAGAGTAATTAAGAAATTTGACTATAGCTTTTTGAAATCACCAGAAATACCTCTAACCATTCAGTTAGCTTTCTGCAACTGTCAGGGGGACTTCTGTGCAGATGGCAGCTGAAAAGCGTTGCTATTTAATTCATTAGCAAGGTCTTCTCTAATTCAGTTAGAATTGTATTTGAAATCACTAAATTAGGGTATTCCATACTTCTAACCAGAAATCTTCATCAGTTTCATATGGAGGTGAGGTTTTGTTTGAACATTGTCACAATGTGCCTCATAGAAAGGGAAGTATGCCATTACTTATTTACCTTCCATGAGACTTTAAAATACTGCTTTGTGTCATTTTGTTATTGTGCACTTATAAGCGAAGTGCTGATTGCTAGGTAGAATGATAGGATATGCCATGATGTGCTGCTGCACAAAGCTGTGCCCTTGTAGCTCAGATCTGTTATTACAGCTTAGGAATGTTCTTTCCTGCTTTGAAGCTAATGGTGAGCAATTCAGCAGAAGGCATGCTTCAGGGTCCTTCAGCAGTCGGGTGTTAACAGTCATACTTATAGTTCTGTGCAGGGATCCACTGGGGTGCATCTAGGTTGCTCCTCTTAGTTGGGATCCAGAGTGTGTTAGCAAAAATCTCCTGACTTGTCTCTTGCAGCACTAGTCTGAGGTAAAAATCCACTGAAGTATCGAGAGTACACATCAAGTCCTAAGTACTGACAGTTTTGCTCTACAACTTCGCTTCTCTTGGCACGCAGTGCTTCCTAATGCTGAGGTAGCAATTGCTGGGTTTGCATTGAGAACTAGACAAATCCTGTGTGGGGTTCTGAGGAGGATCTCATTAGCTTTGGTAAATCACTAGCCTCCTGTTACCTGGACTGTCTGAGAGCTAGGTTGTTTCTGTAGATGCTCTTGCTTTGGTCTGTATTATATCACCTTTGGATAAATGCCAAATTAATACCAATTAATAAGAAGAATTAAAGATGTAATGTTTCTGTCCAACTCTTTCTCTTCCTTACATTCAGATCTGGCAGAGAGTGACCTGGCATATACTCAAGCCATAATGGGCAGTGGAAAGGAAGACTACACTGGGAAAGAAGTGCTAATCCTGGGAGGTGGTGATGGAGGTATACTATATGAAATAGTCAAACTGAAGCCAAAGATGGTTACTATGGTAGAGATATCCTTTGACAAATGACTGATCATTCATTTCAACATTTTTCAGCCTGTGTTTTCTGCTGATGTCTTAGCATTGAGCGTAATTAACTGTCAGATTCTGACTTGCATGAGGAGATAGGGTCTGAAATGAAATTTCTTTTAGTCCTCTTAAAGAGACCCAGTGACTACATATTTGTGCATCACTATGTAGCACATACTTTTGAGTTCCCAATCCATACTATAACTCTTGAGTAGCAATTTACATAGAACTGGAAAGGAACACTTCTGTCATCAAACTGATACCTTCTCTGATAACAGAAGACAGGTCTGTCAAGTCTGTAGTTTGGGCTGAGTTCTGCTGTCTTGGGTTCTTTTTTTTTTTAGCTTGCTTTAATAAAACAAAAAATCCCTAGAAGCAAAAATGTTTAATCAATAAGAATGTCGGGACTTAGTGAATTGCATTGGTGGCAGAATGACCAACTCTTGGCCTGTTTTAAAAATACTGATTCAAATCAAGTTTTCAACATTCTGTAGTTCGGATAGTTTGTAATGTAAACCACTGTTAGCCATATGAAATATTGATCATCCTAGGTTTTGGGATCCCCTTGTTAAAAACTAAAAACAGTTGTTTTAAAAATGTAGGTTGAAGTCTTAACCTAGTTTAGCTTTATGGGGTTTTAAAATACACCTTCCTATTGTTCGCATTTCAAGCTTTCGTAGTAACGGTAACCTAAGGTACCAGAAATACTGGTTTAAACCAAAAATAAACACTTCCTAAAGCTCTAACTGAATCTGAAGGCAAATGGCTATTGCAATATGTATGCAGAGATACATGTCTTACTATTCTTTTGTGAATGTCACCTTTTTGAGAATTTCTTTCTGAAGAAATAGAAACTGTTACCTGTATTATTTCTGGAATGTAGAATGCCTTAACCAGCTTCAAACATTGACCAAATGGTGATCGACGGGTGTAAAAAATACATGCGTAAAACCTGCGGAGATGTCTTAGACAATCTGAAAGGAGAGTGCTATCAGGTAACTTTTTTTGTTTTTCTTTGATTAGAAGTAATATTTCAAATACAAGTATACCCAGCCTGGTAGACTGCAATAGCAAAGGTTTGGGGAAAAGTCTTCTGATTTTTCTTAATTTTGGGAAGGATCTTTCCTTTTTTATGACACTTCTAAATTTTAATAGCTGGCAGTGGGATTTGTGTTGGAAGTATATATTGGTGTCAAAATATTTTAACTCTCCCTCTTCAAGCTCTTCTAAAAATAATTATATAGCTTTTAAGGAATGTGAAATAGGAGAATGTTTATTGCTGTAGCCTACAAATAAAGAGGAAATAGCAGTAAGGATGCAGTGTTAAACATCATTCCTTAAATTGATGAAAAGATAGAAGAAATGTGTATTTCAGTTGTCCTGTACTGTTGAGAATATCTGAATTTGTAATACACATTTTAAAATTCTTTTTAATTTGCAGGCAAAAACTCTTACACTGCTAGGATATTAAAAATTAAAAAAAATATTAAAATAAATTCATGCGTCCCTACAGTTAAGGTCTTTGTGCTGCATCTGACAGAGCTTGCAGACTAGCCCAGGTGTAATCTGACATCTTCACTGGAAACCTTTTCTTTGTTTTCATTACTGCTCCTTAAGGCTCTCACAGATACTATTTTACAGGTGTGAGCTAAAAAAAGCATGCAAAAAAATTAACAGAAGTCACATGCTATGTTGCATGAGTCAGTGGCCCTTCATACTTTACTCATACATTACTTTACTCATATGTTGGTGGACTGCTAACTGTTGTTACCACTTGGTAGGTAGAACAGTGGTTACGCAGCAATCAGTGACAGCTAGGAAATTCAGTCCTGTAGTCCCTTCATTTGTTACAATTCCCACAACTGTTCCTCCTTCTTACAAGATGTAAAAAGTTGAAAAAGGAGCCTAAAATTAAGTGTATATTTAATTTTGTACTTTTTGCCTTCTCTTAATTGCTGTGAATCTGCTTTTGTTCCTCTTACCTGGTCAGTTTTAGCGTATTTAGAGGACTATTTCATTCTTACAGGTTCTGATTGAAGACTGTATTCCTGTACTGAAGAGGTATGCCAAAGAAGGAAGGATGTTTGATTATGTAATTAATGATCTGACGGCTGTTCCAATCTCCACATCTCCAGAAGAAGGTTAATCTTAAAATTTATTTTCCTAAACTTCTGAGGATTGATCCTAAACTTCTGCCCCTCTGCTGCATGGTAGTTGGCAATTTGCAACAAAAATACTTTTTGATTCTTGCCTTTTTAATAGCAAATCTGAGAGGCAAAGAATGATAGTAACACATCTGTTCTTTTAGAATTTTTCTTATATGTTAGAAAAAATTAGTCAGTGCCTAGGGCTCTTTTTAAACTGTGCTCTTATTCCAGAATAATATCAACTCACATAATTTATGAGAAAGTATTTGGGGAGTTCACATGCCAGTAAATTTTTCCCCACTCTATAATGTCTTGGAAAAGTCTGGAAAATTACTGTGAAGAAAAACAGATACTTCCACCATCATTGCCATTGTGTATGGGTTGTGTGGTTTTTAGCTTGTTGGTTTGTTGTTGTGGGGTTTTTTTAAAGGTGTAGGATAGCTACTTCTTAAACAGTAGATATGTTGCAAGTCTTGAATATGTAACAGTGAACAAGCCAGTAATGTACTGTTCTGTTTTTAAATCATACTCTACATGCAGATTCCACATGGGAATTTCTGCGATTGATTCTTGACCTCTCAATGAAAGTCCTGAAACAAGATGGAAAATACTTCACACAGGTATGATATCTGGATGTAAAACAGTATTGCTGTATATGTATTGCGATCTGCATTTTTCAGGTAAAAAAGGGGACTAAACTAAACCAACCAACTAAAAATCTACTAACAAGCTGGTTTTCTCCTTTTAATGACTCACTTAGGGATTTTTGCATGGAATTTGGGCTTTGCTAACTGACTTGTGTTTTTTCATTATTTCAGCTGAATTTGTAGCGATTGTGTCTTTGGAATTAAAAGCATAATTTCAAGAATCAGCTAGGTGTACTACAGAATATTTTAGGTGTAAGCAATTCTTGGAAAAGCAGAACAGATGTACTTCATAAGCACATACATGGTTTTTTAAGCTAGTGTCTCCAGTTGTAGAGTGTAAGACATAAAAATTTATCATCCATAAAGGTGTAAGAATTTTACATGGGTGCAATGGGATGAGAAAATTAGTCATTTGGGAGTAAATACTCTCTTTTGCTTGCTATCCACTCCTAGTGCAAGTCACTGGTTTGGCTTTTTCAAAACGGGTTTTTAACACTTGAATGTTTGTTACAATGCTTGGTATTTTGTGAAGTATTTTATACAGTCATAAATAAGATTTTGTCCTTGTGTATGAAGTTTTTACTGGAACTCTATTTAAAAATAAATAATTTAAGATTTGTATACATGCTACAGTATAGCCACCTTGTGGATAATATAATTGTGTTATAGCTTTCATCCTGAATTCGGAATGCCACAAAGCTGCATGCAATTGTACAAAAACATGACAAGACCCAGCAGATGGTTTAGTGAAGTATAAGTCTCTGAAGTTGTGTTTCTTTTGTCATGCCCATACTTTTAACTAGTCTTCTGATGTGTGGGGCATTTAAGTACAGCATTTTGGAATAACCTTGTTAAGCTCTGAAATAACCTAGCTAAAATTATGCGTTTGAACTCTGTTCCTATCAGCACAGGGTTTTGGACGTGTGTAAAGGAACTGGTTTACTGTAAAATTGGACAGGTTTATAAAGAAATGCAAAACTCACAGAATGAGGTTTTTGGCAACTTTAATGTGCTGCTTCATTTTAAAATGCTGTGGTTGTGCGGGTAAGATAAATTATCTTGTGGTTGAAATGTAAGATATGACTGATATGGCTGCATCACACAATCTCAATGGCTTTTCTATTTTGTTAATAGTAGAAATACTTATGACTGATATTGAAAGGACACTACATCTTTTGGACAGAGCAAGCATTTGTGTTGCAGTTGTCATTCTTGTCAGCTAGTCTCCCTGTGTATGTTACTTTATTGGAATGTATGTAAATATGTCTGTCGACAAGTATCTGTCAGACTTTGCAGAAAGTCTCTGGGAAGAAGCTTGTGCTGAAAGCTGGAGTGATGGCTGTGCTGCGGCCAGGGTACAGGGAGGTGGTTTTGTGTCAGCTGAAACCGATAGAGGTTGAGCCTGGTACAGCCCTGCTGCCTGCCCTGTCCTCATGGGACGAGGAGAGAACTTGGCTCTCCAGCATCTCTGCTTGCACAGGAAGGAAGGACAGCAGGACTGAACTGGCCCTGGTGGGTTTAAGCCGTTGTGAAACTGCAATATCAGTTTCACAGTTCACAAGCAACAAGGTGGGACATGGCACGATGGGGCAGAAACAAAATTAAAATTGAAGTGGCTTGAATTTGGCCTTGTCGTTAACTGGTAGCCAGTGAAAGGGCTGGAGTAGAGGAGCAATGTACTCTGGCAACTTCGTCTTCCTGAGCATGTTGGAAAAAAGCTGTTTGCCCCAATATTAACTTTCCTATCAGAGCTTTTGATATATCTACTGATACACTACCTGACCCATTTGATGGTCCTCGTTGCCTCTTCTCAGTTGGGCCTGATTTAAAGCAAACAAACAAAAAAAACCCCTCAGAAAACTCAGCAGTCTGATCACAGGAAGAACAGACTTTTAGGGGTTCTTTAAATAAAATCAGCTGCCTATAACTTTCTTTTAAATTAGGTTTTGAATTAAACTAATTGAAGCTGGATATCCAAAGGATTGAGTTAGACTACGGACAGAAGTTCAAATGTGACCACTACAAACTTTGGTAGCTGAGCTTAGTCACATGCTGGGAACTCATAAATGGTTTTGAATGCTCTGATGTGCTAGCTGTTAAATGCCAGGGCTTTTTAGCTCTGTGTATTAATGTTGGAAATTTAAGTTACTTTTGTTCCAGCTGTCTACTTCCAGGATGCTTACCTTAGGTAGCAGGCTGTGCTTTACCTGCTGAAGGAATCACATACCTTTTAAGGCGGTTTTGTTTTTAAAATCCAGGATTTTTGTGTGCCCTCCACTTCCCCCTGGCTTTCTTGAAGTTCTTTGGTTCTCAAAACCATAAAATATGTTAAATATCATCAAGAAGAGTGACTGAGGGATTGTCCACCTATTTGTTAGAGCCTGACCTTTGCTATGATGAGGAAATGTCTCATAGGAAAGATGGTGCAAAAAGGTCATTGTCCTGTTGGCTACTGGCCAGTAGCTATAGTTGCTGCTTCTGCCTTGGCATTATGTTGTACTAATGTTTGAAACTTCTGTCCTCTGTCATTTGTAGCCTGTCCCCTGATAGTCCTGCTTGCAGGGGTTACCTTGTGCGTCTTGTTAGAATGTCATTTATTTCAATGCTCAAGAAATGCTTTACCCAAAAGTGGAGTTCTGTTCACAGAATGCCAGTCTTTCACATACTGTATTGCTGCCTGACTCTCTAAATGCCACTGCTGGGAAAAATAAATGGAAATGCCCATCACCTCTTCACTGAGCTCTGCACAAGTTCTGGAAAATGTTCTTTTCAGCATATGAATTGTCAGCAGGCAGGGTCTAGAGCTGTCTAACTCTAGATAGATGTAATTTATCTGAGACTATCAAAAGAATTTTTTTTGCATGCTACCCTAACACACCTGGCTGTTCCCTCAGGATGCAGTGGTGATCCTCAAAGTAGTCTCCAAATGCTAATGCAGAATATCCTTTCACCACTTGGTGGAGACTGGTAACTAATATTGTCTAGCAGTTTATTAACATTTCTAGAGAGATTCTGCCTCTAAAAGGTTTTTCAGACTACTTATTTGTATTCCCAGGGAATGCAAGAAATGATGTGGCCAATTTTAGGATGAAGGAGGGACTTTTTGCTTATTTCAACTCTGGAAAGATAGAAAGGGCAGTTTATGGATCTCATTCTCTGCTGCTGTAAGTCTGTGCTTGAGTGTATTGGGGGGGAAAAATGCCTCCATATTTGCTCTATGCCTCTACAAATAGTAACTGCAATCAGAATAAAAGCTTACTTGCATGAGTAGTAGCCTTGCTTTTCATGTCCTTGCTTTTTCAGCTGCATCATCCATATGGAGAATCTTGCAGGCTACGTAGGACCTGGACAGAGAGGTGAGCTTTAGGGCCCTTAGCCTACCGAACTTGCAGCCCTGTCTGTAAGCTTAAGACTTGAAGCTTGTTTGTGAAAACTTACTGTTGAATGTATCCCACTATTCTGAGGCTTAAGGGTCATATGGCTTGCTATATTTCTGTTCTTCCTTCTCCTGAAGCTGGTGCTTTGAAGAGTTTAGTGATGCAATATGGGTCCAGGTCTGTGAGGTGCTTGGTGTTGCCTTCTCCAGGGGTAGCCAGTTACAGGGGCAGGTTCCCAGCCACCACAGGGGAGAGAAGTGGGAGTCAGTGAGGACGCGAGAACTTGGCAAACCCAAGGTCTGGTTTCATCTCTAAGGGACCTTCCCAGTGACTTGTTTCTGAACATGTTAACTGTTTTTATGCTATTGGACCTTCTAATAGCCAGTATGATTTTTAGATTGCCCAAGTGACTTTTTTCAACTTTATTGGAGTTCGTGTACTTGTAGATACTACTGTGATACGTTTGTGGTTGTTTGTCTGAACCATCACTATCCTGTGCCTTCCAAGTAGCACGTGAGGATTGTCGCAATAGCTGTGAAACTGTGCTCTGTAAGATGCAGAGACTGATTGTAAGGTTGTCTCTGTGTCAGTGGATTATATGTAGCTATGAAAATGCCTTTTTTCTGTGCTAAATTTTTGCTCTGCTGATCTAATCCTTTGAGGTTGAGCAGGCTATCATTTTCAGCCTGTTTGTGAAGTGGAACCTTTAAAAATACCTCTGAACAGGAATTTACTCCTTCCTAGTCTGGATCATCCAACGCAGGCAGGATAGAAACAGTCTCGGACCACTCACAGGTTTGGGTTCCAGTAAACAGCAGTAACCACTGGTGGAAGGGATCAGATGTCTCCCACACACGCTTGTGGTCCTGCCGTCTAAATGTCCAGACCACCGTGATGTTGCTCCATAGTTACCCTCCTTTTTTTGGCTGCTGTGTGGGTTTTCTAATTAGCACTTCCAAAGACAGAGCAGGGTTCTCCTTGACTGTGAATGTGAAGGGAGTCTGGAAGAATGGATGCATGTCCCTATGTGAGCCTGTGTGATTTCTTGGCAGTCTGTGAGTCTTTAAGGGCAGACATTTCATTTTCTTGTGTTACTGAATTCAGTTTTAAATTAATTGATGGTTTGGTCAGTGGAGATACCTTCAGTCAGGTTTGCCTCCATTATCTCCTCAAAAGCCATCCCTGTCACCCACAACTCAAACCTAGCTCTGATGCTAGGTGTTTCATGCTCTATGTATCTCGTTGTTTCTTAGTCACTCTGAAGTGAGGGAGGAAAAAAAAAAACCCAACCTTGGCTATGTTCAACTCCAGTACTTGTTATTACAAAACAAAAATAGAAAACCATGTTAAATTTAAAATAAAAATTAAACTTCTCTAGTATACTGTGTCAGACAAGGATGTCCAGTAGCAATGACATGTAGTGTAAGACATGCAAGAATGACATGTAAGAAATGGGCAAGTATGGAAAGAGACCCTTCCATCTGCTTTCAGGTCACTAGTTCACTTTCTAAGGTTGGAGGAAGCATAGTGGCCTAAACTCAGCCTATAACCAGTTGATGGACACATCCCCTTTATAGGTAGGTAAAGTTAACTGGAACTTACAGGGTTAACTTAAATTCTTTTTTTGCTACTTAATTTAAGGAATGGGGTTTTTTGTCTGCCTGGCACTGTATCTGTTGTTTAAATTTGTTGTGCATTGTGCTCTAGAAACCTGAAAACCAAACCCTGTGGTACTACAGAGTGTATGCCTTACAAAAGCCCAGAAGAATTGGTGTTGGGAGACGGGCATGAGCTGTCAAAGTGTGTGCAAGCACTGAGCAGACTCAGAATGCAAAGGCTGTGAAACATTTCAGGAGTTGTCACTCTTAAACAAGGTCTTATAAATATAGATCTGTTAATTTCAAAGTTTAAAACTACCTCAAATACTTTTGTGTCAGAGAGATGCTTGTTAAGGAGAGAAAAAAATTTTTAGCATTTCCCCCATTTCTCATCTGTCAAATTGTTTGACATGGAACAAAGATTAAGTAAGGGGGGGCGGGCAGAGGAGTTTAGTAGGGTTTTTGTATGTGTTGAAAGTTGACTGAACAGTGGGGGAGAAAAAAGTCTGATTTTGCTTATTTCCCTTTTGAAAAATTATAATTGGTGAGTCATCAGCTTTAAACATTATTAAACACTGTTCCGTATTGGTTATTGTTTGAGTATATAGTGGCTGTTCAGAACAAAAAATGCATTGCTCTACCACATAACTATTTTCATTAGGCAGGGGGGAGTTAGATGAACACAGGTTATTAGGCTGATCACTGTATTGCATTCTGGGCTTGGTTCCCTGTGTCACATTTTAGCAATACAAGAACACTTAAGTGTGATTGACATTGTTATCAACACTGTTGTCTCTGGTTGATAAAGCTAGTCACTTACAGAAGGGTGTTAGTGATTTTTTCAAGAACTTTTCTCTTTATTGAAGTAAGTTCATCTAAGTTTTGTAGATTAGATTTTTTTGGAATTCTTAGCTTTTTGTTGAGTAAAGCCAAATAATTACAAAACCCCTGTAACTGTGCAGAACAATAAAATCCTGTGGTGGTCTCCAGAAGCAGAGGTTAATAGAACAGCCAGGTGGGATGTGAACCTTTAGATAATGTCTTGATTTGGAGATCGGGGAGTTGTGAGTTTGAAAAGTAAAAATTGGTTATTGGCATGTCTCGTTGTTCCTGTAATTTGTTTTCCACACTGTCTGCAGTGATTTGTCTGTTGCTGGAGAAAGGATGAAATACTGAAGTGACAGGCTGGGAAACTGGATACTTTCATCTCATTGTGTATCCTATTAAACTTCCTCTGTAATAGTGGTGTGCTCCATAAATTACCTAGCAGTGTTTTCTATTTATGACTCAAATTACACATAGGTTGTTTTTTAGTTTTCTTTTGGATTCAGTCTGATGTTGAAACAAAATTAAATGTTTGGTAAAGGGTGGCTGAACCAAATAACTGCTACAGTCCCCTGGATAATAACAGGTTACTAAACAAGTACTACAGTAGTCTGTTCATTGTTGTGCTTTGTGCAGTTGTGCTCAGTTAGTGTTTGTCACTTACCTTTTTACAAGCCTCTTTTGTTTTCCAATACCTCAAATCAAATATGATACATTCAATATAAAGCATGCCATCTTCCTTTACCAAATAAACAAGTATAAGATCAAAATGATATGATGGAATATGATCAAAATGATAATCAAACACATGTTTTAAGCAAGTTCTTTTGAAAGAGCTTTCAAGTATATGATTTTTTCTAAAAGATGCTGTGTATAGATTTTTTTAAGTTGAGGTTTTCTTTTCCACTTGTGATAACTTGAGCACAATGGAAAAAAATCATTGAGCATGCCTCAAAAAATTCAGAGGAAGAACAGTAGGATGAAGTATCTCTTCACTTCCTCTGGAAATAAAAAGTTTTAAATACGTTGTGGAAAAAAACCCTACCAATAAAAGGTAGAAAAAAAAGTTTAAATCCCAAAGTCAGAATGTGCATTATAGACTTTGTTTCTAGTTGTCATCTGATGTTGTTACATGGAAAAAGTAATGTAGATGGAGCTGTTTAGACATACTGATTTCAAATAAGATCTCTGCTTGTTTCAGCCTCTGCCTGTTGTACATTGGTTTTAAGAGCACAGGTATTATTTGTTGGTCAAACTCATCTTAGTTCCTTGCTTTGTGAAAATTAACTTTCAGTTGCATCTGTGTGCACTTAATTATTTTAATGCTTTTTTAAAAAATCTGGGAGCACTGGAAAGCAGAAGTTAAACAGTAAAACTCAGCTTTCTTAAAGACCGTTCTGTTGGAGTGCAAAGCTTCACAATGCTTGCAGAGCAACGCACATGTGTGAAACATAGGTAGTGCAGACATTTTGGAAGTGCTGAATAAATCCTTTGTTCCTGGGCTCTGATAGAACTTGACCTTTGTTTCAAGTTAGAGGTCTTACAATATTGAATAAGCTGTGACTGTAAAAGAGCTATAGTTTTTAATTAGATCTAGCTCTTTTTTCTTAGTTGAACCATCTGCATTCTTTCACAGTCAGATGTTACACACATTATCTAAGGGCAGGAAGGGGCAAGATAACTCATTCAGTAATTGGAAAAAAAAAACCCAACAAAAAACCCAAACTAACAACAACAAAAGCCCAAATTATGTGTGTGTGTGTGTGCACAAACATTTCCAGAAGTCATTTAGAACAGAGGGAAGATACTGCCATTCCATAGGTGGAGTCCCTTGCTTTAGGCTCTCTTGTTCTTGTCTCTTTCTTGCAAATTTCAGGGCCTTTAAAGATGAAAAGCAGTACTCTGCTCGGAAGTGCTTATGCTGGAAGGCTTTTGGCCTGTCCAGTTGTGAACAGAAAGTCATGTAGAAACCAAGAAGCTGGCTGTATTAGTAAACGACTGATTCTTCTGTTGGCTTTTTTTATTTAACTAGAGCTTTTTCTGTCTAATGCATATCTTCCTGTCATAGAGACTGATGTTCCTGTGACCAGAGATAAATAGCAAACTTCTGTGCCTCGGGTCTTTTGCCATCATTTTGTGGGGCTTTGGCTTGTATGCTAGGTTATTAGGAACTGTGTATTCATTAACATGAGAGTTCCCTTTGTTGTTGTCTTTTGTCTTCTGTGGTGAACGTTCCTCCACTAGAAGTGGTAAAATGTGCGGTAAAGCTGATGATTTTTACGTTGAAAGTAACTGTGGAGAAATGCTAGTTAATGCTTCTGTTTCTACTGATTAGAAATCAGAAAAAGAAAGTAGGCTTTGTGCTAGGTCAACATTAAAGGCATTTATACTATAAGCTAGTAAATCCAGCCATTAGGGAAGGATGGGGACACGCATCTCCTGAAGATGTCTTGTCCTGCCCCACGTATGACCAGAATCACACATGCTGTGTGGTCAGGGTAGATTCATCGTCATGGTGTAACTTGCTGTTCGTGTGTAGTGTGCAGTATGGTTGGGCATCATGACTGGGGCCTCTATAGGTGGAGCTGAAGGTTCCTCATGAAAGCAGTAGAGGTAGAAGGTCACAAATGAACTCATCTGGCTGTCAGCATGCCAAGGACCATTAACATCATCTCCCCCTTGACCAGAATCGCAGAATGTCCTGTCTCTGTGCTGTGCCACAGCAACAGTACATTCATATTTGGTGGGTCTTTATTCAGTGTTTCATACCTGGCAAACAAAAGCTGAGTAATTTGTAGACCATGCAGTGGTGATTATATTCAACTTCGCTCCATTTTAAATTAGCATCCAAATAACTTGTATTTGCCTTACTCTTAAGATCACTGTATTTAATGTTTAAGGTTGTAAAGTATCAGCTAGCCTACTCAGGTAAGCAAGAAAGGCAAGAAACTTGTCAAGAAGGTTTTTTTTATTAAACTTGACAACTGACTTTTATTGTTTTGGGTAGTTTGTGTTGTTCAGTCTGGTGTTCTGGGCGCTCAACTGTTATCACTAAATCTTCAAACCCATTACAAATATGGATAGTCACTTTTCTAATTAGAGCTTTCTCTATATGGGCATCCCAGATATATGTTGCAGTAACTTCTGCTTGTTAATACTTAGCTGTGGACAAGGTTGTGCTTGTAATTAGGAGTTGTCGTGTTTTGTTTGGTTTTTTTTTTTTAATTCCTCACCATTTATAATCCTTGAGATGTGTTTGTATTCCAAGAATGATTTGTTTGGGTAATACTTGTTTGGGAAGGAATGCTGTGAATTCAATGTCTGATATTTCCTAGTTGCACTGTTAGAGAAAAATAATCTAAGCACTGATTTTTATTTTGTTCAGAAAAGGATACTACTAATATTCTTAGATAAGACACAAGTCCAAGAAAAAGTATCGTAGGAATCACTTTTTCAGAAGCATTATACACAAACTCAAGACAATGTAGCCTGCAGCCACAGAACTTCTGTATAATCTGATTTATTTTATCATATTGCTCTGTGGAAGAATCTGTTTAAAATGAATGTTATAGGATTTTTTATAGTGCATTTAAATGTTGGAAGACCTAGGCAATGTTAAATAATTGAGAAAATCTGGATGTTGTAATACTGTTTACTAATATATTTAAGCAATCATAAAGAAAATGGTTATTGAGTAGATGTTATAGGTAAACAACACATGGTGGTCTGTTTTAACTGGAAGCCCTAATGTAATGGTTGCTTCTGCTAATGAGAAGATAGATAATCCCCCCATACTTACCCTTTCTTGAAAAGGTACAAATTGTTTGCTGTAGGCAGAATGAAGACAAGCTGTTCAGTATTTGCCTTGTAAATATTAAATATTAAGAAACCATGTATCTGGTTCTGAAGTATGTGGGAGCCTTGCATTAATGTCAAAATGTGTATATTCATCTGCAGTTTTGCTTATTTGTTTGATTGTAACTGGAACTTTTCTTTTTTCCTTCAGGGAAACTGTATCAATCTGACCGACGCCTTGACTCTGTATGAAGAACAGCTTAGCAGGCTTTATTGTCCTGTGGAGTTTTCAAAAGAAACTGTGTGCGTTCCCTCCTACATGGAATTGTATCCTTAAAGACTGAGAAAGAGTGGGGAGTGTGTATTAATAAATCAGGCAAGCCTAGATTGCTTGGAGGTAGTGAACTCAAGTGCAAGAAGGCAGTTCTAATTTAAACACTGTTAATGTTTTTACATAGTAAATGAACTACTGCAGTTTTATTTTGAGGATAATTGCAGGAATTATTTTTTAAAAGCGCCATAAATTAACAGCTGGTGAAATGCTCAGCACCTTTCAAGATCAGGCTATGTTTTTGTTAGTTTTTGAGTGTTTCCAACTATTGTTTGTGATGTAGGATAAACTGTATGATGAGGGTAATGCTGCCTGGGAGTTCTGGCAAGGCTGTATCTTTTTTCTTTTTTTTTTTTCTTTCACAAAAAGTCCCAAACTGACTTCATACAAATTAGCATGATCTAGATCTTTAAATATTCTCTCACAGATCTATTCTTGAACATATAGCTCAGACTGGATTTTTAATGGAAAAAAAGTGATTCCTAACAATCGTTACATGTTAGTGTTACTGAAAAAATATTCCAAGTGGAGGGGTATACACGTTTCTCAGCAACATCCCATTCCTAAAAATAATCCTTCAGAATATCTTCATTTTGAGGGTGGCAAGCAACTTATACAAGGAGCTTGAAGTTTCAGCTTCAAGCCATTAGCTCTAGAGGGGCATTTTGATCTGCTATAGGGTGGTTCTCCTGGCTGCGTGTGCCTTGAGTGTTTACCACTTTTGTGTCATCTCCCAGGAAATGTTTCTGTAGGGTAATATTTGCTGTGGCTGTGTCCCTCTTGACAGGAGAGATCTTTCCAGGATCTGCTTATTCATAGTGTGTTAAGCATGTGAAACTCTGCCACAGCCTTTCTTCTGTTCTGTGTGTTCATTTTGCCTCCCTTCTGTGTCTCTAATCCTGATATTGTTTAGTGCTGTAGTCTGCAGTTCTGGACTCCATACTGACTGTAACAAGCTCCTCCTGTTTCTCATTGTTGTCAGCTCTCCAGTGAAACTCAGATTTGATCTTAACATTTTCAAGACAAAAAAGAGAGAAAGAGGATATGAAGATATTTGCCCTTGTAGCTTACAATTTCAGAGAAACTGGTTATTTTTGACTTTACAACTGCCAGGCCTTAATGCAACATGTATGTGATTTGAAGTATGCATCCTCAGAAAGTCTTCTGAATACCTACTGCATTATTTATTTGGAAGTGTCCGAAATTTTTCTAAATGAATTGAGTTGTCGTGGTTTAACCCCAGCCAGCAACTAAGCACCACGCAGCCGCTCACTCACTTCCCCCCCATCCAGTGGGATGGGGGAGAAAATCAGGAAAAGAAGTAAAACTCCTGGGTTGAGATAAGAACGATTTAATAGAACAGAAAAGAAGAAACTAATAATGATAATGATAACACTAATAAAATGACAAGAGTAGTAATAAAAAGATTGAAATGTACAAATGATGCGCAGGGCAATTGCTCATCACCCGCCGACTGACACCCAGCCAGTCCCCGAGCGGCGAATCCCTGCCCCCCACTTCCCAGTTCCTAAACTAGATGGGACGTCCCATGGTATGGAATACACTGTTGGCCAGTTTGGGTCAGGTGCCCTGGCTGGGCATGAGAAGCTGAAAAATCCTTGACTATAGTCTAAACACTACTGAGCAACAGCTGAAAACTTCAGTGTTATCAACATTCTTCACATACTGAACTCAAAACATAGCACTGTACCAGCTACTAGGAAGACAGTTAACTACATCCCAGCTGAAACCAGGACATGAGTAGCAAATGCTACTTTATTCCTTTAAAAAATACATTTAAATGTTTCTGGTAAGCTAACATATGTGAAATATATTCAGCAATAAATTTATTAAAACTGGCCATTAAATACAGGTAACGCTTGAAAGAGAACAATTCTTAGAGAAATGGGGCAGGCTTTATTAGTTTGCTTTTTCTGAATGAATTAACAATGATATAGTGGTACAGATACAGAAATGTTAGTGGAGAAGTCATCTTGATGACTCTAACTTTTAATTTGGCCTTGGACTTCTGATAGCCCTCTACTTGCATTCAAGGTACAGGTTATTGCCTTTCTTGAAACTTAAAAGATTTCCAAGTAGGAGTATGTATCGGAATGGAAGGCTATACCTAAATGCTGTTTCACAGATGACTGAGCGAGGTGATTAGTTTACAGTAGAATTGTGACAAGTAATCAAAAATTAGGATTTTATTTCTTTCTGAAGAATGTGACACACTTTGATACTCGTTTAAGTGCCTGAAATCTCGAGCCATTGAACAAATCTTCACTTACGCAAATGTTCGTTTTTGTAGTCTGACCAAAAGTTACCCATGTGGGTACCTGAATGCAGCCAAAGTACTAAGCTGGCTTATCACTTGTTACTTGTTTTGCCTACTTCAAGAATTGTTACTGTGTGTAATTGTTACTTGAAATTGTGGTGTTTACCAGTGTTGCTGTGGGGGCCATCTGAAATTCAAGTAGCTGTTGACATAAAAGCCAGCTCTCTGCTTTAAGGAAAGCATATGTATCTCTGAGGTCTCCACCAGGACCTTATGGTGAACACAGAGGCTCCCATCTGGAGCATGTGTGACCTTGCTGTATAAACAGAAGAGCATATATCTTTATGTGGTTTTTCTAAGTTATAAATCCCAGAAGTCTATGCCTTACTCTGCAGCTGTTGCTGTAGCTCTACAGGTGATGTTCATGTCTCATCCTCCCATCTGCTTCTCTGGAAGCAGGTGGAATTACATAGCTCTGACCTCTCTCATGTGCCCTGCATGGCAAGAGGGCTCTTGAGGATCAGTTGTCTGTCCTGCCAGGAGTACCTCGGAGAGCTGTGGTTTGAGCATAGCTTCTGTGTGACTCTGCTGAAGCTGGGTCCATCTCCCCCAGAGGAACAGCAAAAAGAGCACTGATAGAGCTGCCAGTTGTTCTGTGTTTTGTTTCTAGTTCAGTCTGGGCGACATAAAGGTCTGCTTTCTGAAAAGTGACTGGATTCCTAAGGCAAACACTGCAGAAGCTATTAGAGAAAACCCAGGCAAAATTTAGATGCATCTGTTAAGTGAGTGTTCAACAGAACCCCTGCTGAGGCAGCTAAGAGGCAGTAGGCATTTAAATCTTTGCCTAGTAAGATACCTGGACACCTAGCGTTCAGCTACTGAATGTCTCAGTATTAATTCTGTGTCTGATTGTATCTGTGTTAGGGATTCACAAATTAGGTAGCTGGATGTCTCTTTCCTATTCAAACTTGCTACTTTACAATTGAGAAGATGAGCAAGAGGGGTCCCAACCTGGTGAACTCATGATTGAAGTTTTGGTCACTCTGCCCAAAGTACTTCTGTAGTTTGTTCAGTGGTTGCAGTGCAAATAAATGCACCACCTGAAAGTCTGCAGCAGGAATTAGAAAACATGGGTTTGCAAAGGATTTCAGTTTTAGTGGAAATGGGATTCTCTTTTAAAGTGCTGAGTCAAAAAGAGGATTCAGGGAGATTTCACTTTTGAGTTTTTTACCTACCCCATCTTTATGAGCTATCAGAAGTTTTCAGAATTGAAATATAAGTGAAAAGAACTACTTCCATTTTAATGAGGTACTACAAACTTTGCAATCTGTTTTTTTTCCTTAACTGCTTATTTTCTCCAGATGGGTATTCTACACTATTTGGAAGAAACAAAATGACATCTGAACATCAAGATTATATGAGATTATCCTACATGTACATGCTGCATGGAGCATAGAGGCCTGCCACATGCTGCATATTGGCATCTTGAACCTTTAAATTATATGCTGTAGATGATCCTGAAGCTTAGTCATGCTATTGATTGTGAATTCTTTAAATGTTTTTTATTATTATTTTAATTTAAAAGCAAATGGAAAATGTATATTTTGATGAGCTAGGGTGTTATTTTTGAAAGTCAACTTAAAATGAATAAGCAGCAAAACTGTATAGCTGCTGAATGCACTGAACCTTTAGAATGTGATCCTTTTTATTTTTTTGTAGATCTTCACAAACTGATTGATTAAAAAAGACATCTTTAGCATTTCATCCCTAAAGGGTGGTCCATGGAGTTTGTTTGGGTTCTTTTTTTTTTTTGGTTTTCCACCAGTTTTTATCTATGGTGCTTTTTAAGGATGGAGGGTTCTTGTTTGATTTTTTTTTTGATGAACACCACAGTGCTTCCATATAGAAAAAAGCATAAGTTAAGAAAGAAAAAAAAAATCTTCTGAAAGGATACCCCAAATCCTTCATTGCGAAGGGAAGAAAACTAGTCTTAAATTTTATTTACTGTAGTTTCATTCATCATTGCTGTAATCTTCTCTGCAAGAGAAGAATCTTTGACCTTTCACCTAATGGGATTCTTTAGCTGCTGCCCCATTGATTATTTGGATTTTGATACAGATTTAGCAGTGGGTTATAGAGGCACTTTGAACTCTATCAGCATGAAAATTAAAGCTGGTTTTCCATCCCACCACAGTGTAAGAAACTGCATGTAATGAGGTTCTTGTGGGCATACACTCCTCAACCTTATGGGAAGCACTAGGTTCTTAAAGAAGGAAAGGTCACTTTAGAGGGCGAAGAAATGTGGCTGTATCTAGATTCATGTGCACCAGTATGGAATGTTTTGAGGCAAGTATGTATATTTCAGTAGGGTAAGTCCTGGTTGCATTGCTGTGGATAGACCATGTTGTGTGGGGCTCTTGCTGAATTAGATTGACTTGAAGTGTAAAAATCAGTGGAAGCTAGGTTGCATTGTAGTTTTGTTCTGAAAGATAAAGCATTTTTCTTTAACTGTTTCTCATGTCTGAAAAGTTATATTTTTGTAAGAATGTGCTATGTATTGACTAAAACTTTGCTTTCAGTGTTTAAAAGATCCCACTTGAAAGGAGGTAGGAAGGATTATAACCATTCTGTGCATTTCTGTACATTTCCAAGATAGAATAAAAAGTGCACTATTTCCCTAAACGCTCTAATCCTGAACCATAATGATGTTTTTTTCCTTCAATACCTAGTATCAACACTTTCTTAGTTTTATTGGAGGGAGTTGGTCCCCCCTGCCAAGATACTGTTAATGAAAACAAAACAAAAAAGCACTCCTAAGAACTGTATTCTTAAATCGTACATAAAGAAGAATTTTGCTGTGTCCCACATACATAAACTGTTCATGAAATCTGAGTAGCCTGTGTAGAATTCCAGAGTGATACTGGAGAACTTGCAAAAAATTTGCTCTTGATTTGGTGTATAATTATTTTTGTATTGTACAGTTGTGCTGTTAAAATGCTTTCAGTTTGGAGAGCCAATAGAAGTATTCTTCAGTCTTACTTTAAATTATTGCAGTTACATGTTAATTCTTTAATATACATGGGGCACAGTTCTTCCATGGCCTGCAGCTTGTGCATCCCTAAATATTCCCAAAGAGCAGAGCCTCCCTCTAAACAGTAGGAGAAAAAAGTGTCTTGCATTTCCCTGAGTGTTTTAGCTCTGTTGTATACAACCCAGAAAAGACCTTGATATTATTGCCTATAACCTGGTAGTGACCCTTCATTTATGATACAGGACTGCAATCAGTATATTGTATAGCTGCAAATGAATGCAGACGTCCTGTAAACAGTTATGTGTATTCTTAACTTTGCAAGCATGAATATTCCCATTGATTCTTAGTGTGATTACTCATATAGGTGAAATTAAGCACACAGGCATTCACTGGGACGGGGCTTACAGCATATATGTTCCCGAATGAGCTTGATAGATGTAGAAATCAGTCACAACAAGTGGGGGTGGTTGTTTTTTTTAGCAAAGAAACTTTTGAACTGGAAGATGACTTAATATGCTTGCTGGCTTGCTGTACCATGGCTAGCACTTTTCTTTAGCATCGCTGCACAAGGCTGCCTGAGTACAGAGATGTTGGTGTGCAGGGATTCTCTGTAATCAGTTCCTGGAATAACCAGGGGACCTGAATTACATACTGATAGGTGAGAGGCAGCGGTGCTTGCAAATCTTTCCTTTTTCAACTGATAAAGTATAAAGAGAGTTGGAGGAATTATTTTTTCTTTAAACTTTTTTTTAATGTAGTTTTTTTAAAGTGATAGATGCAGTATAAAACAATTCAGCAAACACTGAACATTATATTTTTTTAAGTTGCTGAATTGATTCTGAGCAAATATATACATACTGTCAGTCTTTATTTATTTGTTGCTGTAGTGTAGATTTTTTTTAAAAGGAAAACAAGTTTGTTTCTGTTAGCTGTTGCATTTGAAAATTCTATAGCTGATCAGTTTTCTGTGTTTAAAGCCAGTTGGGAAATAACCTATGATTGCTGCACCAAGTATGCAAACAGTTCCCAAGATATGGTTAACATTAGGGTTTTCTTAATTATTCTTTGCACTAAATGCTGCTTCCACCTAGAAATGTGATCTAAGTATCTAAAAACTTGATTGATAGTAGTTTGTGCAAAGAGAAGACTGCTGGTGTTGTATCTACTGCATCAGTGCAGTGCACGTGTTAAAATAAAGGTACACTATTATAACTTGTGTCTCTGAATTGTTAAATACATTGTGGATTCAGTGTTAAAATGACAGAATTGATGGGTATGATGCTTACCATTGTACCTTTTTTTTTTCTTGTCATCTAACAAACATAATGGTACTTAATGGTCCTTTTAGTGAGAATATTTTCTATCTCAGATTAATAAATTCAGTTAATTTCCATATAACACATGCTCAGATAAGATACTCTGTAGTATGGAACAGCACACTGTTGTTTGTGATGGGGAGGATCACTTGAAGCTTCAGTGATCTTTGCTTCAAAAGAGTTAATTTTCTGTAGAGTATGATGTGAATTCTTTGGAGGTCTGTAAGTGTAAGTTTTAGTTTTTGTGCTGAAGTGGCAAGTTGGCTTTGGGTGGCAATGTGACTCATTGCGTGGCATAGAGAAGACAGGCTTCGGAGAAATAAGTGAGACATTAAGAATGATGCAAGCTTTGGCATGGAAGTTTAAGGAAGAGGGAGAAGGGCATGAACAGGACAGGTACATTGAAGAAGTTACTCTGGGGTGTGATTCAGAAAGATTAATAACATCAGACAATGAAAGAAGGATGTGACTTCTGAAAAGAGATTGTAGAGAGATTTACATAAATTCCAGCTAACTGGAAAGAAGTATTTACATCTGTCCTAATTAGTACAGTGGTAGCAATGGACTTGGGAGTTGGGAAGAAGGGGGAAGGCTTAACTTTTTGAGGGGGGGGGAAGTCTCACAGACTTTGAGGATAGGATAAAGAGCAATTTTAGAGTTGCCTACATACATGACAGGGAAGATAAGTATCTCTTGCTGCTTTATTTTTTCTGTTCAGAGTTTGAGGTGTTGACAGCTTGCTGGAGGGACCAAGGCAAGGGGACAAGTGAGAAGTAGAGTATTCAATTTCATATGTTAATTTAGGAATAGGAGCCTGCGGATGATGTTGCCTGAGGGTAGTAAGAGGAAGTTGACAAAGCTTGCCCACAGAGAAAAGAGGAGTAGTTGGAATCATTAAAGGAGATGCTGAAGGAAAAAGTGAGAGAAGTAGCGAAGGAGTGCAGGAGTAATCAATAATGGCGTTGAGTAACATAGAAGTGCCTTTTTAAAATGTGGGCTGTTTTAGGAAGCAAGGGGTTAGACATGTGGAGTGGGAATGGTGGAAGGATGTGAAGAAGTTTATAGAGGTAAAGTAGAGCTTCAGAGGTAGAAATGGAGAAAGTAGAGAGGAAGGAGAGAAGAGGGTGAAATGCTTGTCATAACTGGAAGCATGATGAGATAGGTGGCATGCTGTGTTTTCATTACACACATTTTTTGTTGTCCCAGACACTATGGGGTGTGAGCTAGGAACTGCTGGAGGTACCTCAAAGCAGAAAGCTGACCCAAGCTAGCCCAAAACCTTACAGTGCGTGGGAGATGGGGCTGGCAGGTCCTGGATGCAGCAGACTTAGAGATACCAAACCGCTTGCTCGTCCTGTCACATACACTGACTTTTGGATCAAACTCTCCAGGCTGTCACTTGCATGCCTAATAGCGCAAACCATCACCAGATGGTAGTGTGACATCCCAGCACCTCCCCCTTGATGATCTGAGAAAAATTCGCTTCCCTTAACGTAGAGGTGCCTTACAGCTGGTGTAGAGCCCAGACCGTATGTGAGATGTGGAGAGCTTCCTTCTGAGTACAATCTAAAGCCATCAGGGTGTAGAATGGGAAGTTGCTGTGCCCGTCTGTCCGAACTTACGGGCGTCCCTTCGGCCCTTTTGCTGCGTTGTGTGGCAGGCTTGCTGTGGGAGCTCTTTGTAGCCGGGCAGTAAGGCCAGAGCAGACTGGAAGCACTGGATATACTGGGCAGACATGGATGTGAGGTGCAGCGCTCACCCAGGAGCCCTCCTTCTAGGAGTGCCAGGTGAATCGCACAGACACGGGAGACAAAGCTGCGGGACAGGGAGAAGGACAAAAATGAGATCGGCGGCTGTGGGTAGACCAAAGTCCCAAGGGAATTCCGCAGCCCACAGCCTGTCTGTGGCTTCCCTGCTGGTAGGGGATGGGTGAGACAGGGGACACTGGTCACCTGGATTCTTCTGGAGGACCATGTGCAAGCTGCAGGAATGCCTTCCTGGAACACCTTCAGCCTAAAAAAGAAGTAAAAATAAATGGTGATACTTTAAATGTGAGTGACTGGGAAGACAATAAACAAGGTAGGAGAGGAATTTAGTGCTCTTCCAGTGAAGTGGAGAAAGAGACGGCCTCATTAAAACTGAAAAGTCCCAGCCTTTTTGAAGTTGCCGACTGCTTAGCCTGGATGCATGAAAACATTGACAACTTTTGGAAGTTTTATGCCTAGTAATGAGATTGGTGGTTCTCTTGGGCTAAATCTAAAGAGTTGAACGGCTGCCAAAGCCTTTCTTATGTAGCATGTATCTTTAGTCTGTGGGTCATGCTAGAACTATTTTAAGAGCTTGCTCTAAGACGGACCTAACTACTGGGTTTGCTGAGACTAGAAGGTATAGTCCCCCTTGTCCCTGTCTCTCTCCTCAACTTCTATTTCTAGATGTGCTGCAAATGCACATGAACATGCAGAGACGTATGAAAATGTAATTAGCCATAACTTCTCAAAGATCAAAAATATTTCAGACTTTCTTGATTGAATGGAGTGTTTTCAAAAATCTATTCAACCCAGTTCCCTCAACACTACAGCTTGTGTGAAGGGGTTGCTGTGAAGGCATTTCTTCTGGTAGCTGTGCCATGTAAATGGTCCCAGCCATCTCCTCTACACTCCCACTTCTTCGTTCTCACCCTGCATTAGCTCCTCTGCTGTGAGAGTTGCAGCTAGCTCTCCTGCGGCCATGGGGCAAACCGATTAGGTTAAAAACGAGCAAGGAGAGACATTAAAGAGAGATGGGGAACTGCTCTCGCTTCAGCTGCACTGCTGCAATGAATGGATAAAAAAAGCAGTCTATGTTTAAAAGGGACCTGTGTGGTTCATCGTGTTGCCAGACATGCTGGCAGACCCGAGTGGTGTGTGGGCATGGGAACTGGCAGTGGGGGACGCAGGTCAGAGGAAGGTGTGGGATAAGGGAAACGTTCCAAGTGAAGGCCGTAGCATCATAGTTTATCCCTGCTTTAGAAATACAGGGGAAGAACTGTTAAGGTAGTTACCCTTTGGTGGTTTTTTTTCTTGTTTTTTTTCTCTAATCCCATCTACTGAATCATTATGGGTCCCTTCCAACTTGAGATGTTCTACAACATTATGATTTCAGTCATCCAGAAGTTTCAAATAGTTTGAATTTTGGGGAGCAGCTAAAAGGTGATCCGGAAGAAACGACATGCCACTTTGGTCTAATGGAAATGAAGAGCTTTATCTGTGTTGATACCCTGCATGTAGCTTTTGGGGGCTGGGGGGTGTTTTCAATTACATGTTGCCATTCATACCTTCAAAACTTTT